GGAAAATGAAATAGCTTTAGGGGATATAAAGGGGGATGTGTTTTTATTTAGATTAATTGAAGAAAAAAAATTACAACTACACAAATAAATTAAAATATATGAAACTGTTGGAAAGAGAAAAATTTCAAAGGATTCAAATTATTTAATATTATAAGAGTACTTTTCTTGTGAGCTTCATAAATTATCAAATATAATGAAAGATAATTTAATGGCAGAAAAAAAAATATTAGGAGCGGGTTTGGAAGGGCTATTTAATATTAGTTTTTGTCCTATAAAAAAGTATTTTTACATTATTTAAGAGAGTATAGTATCCATCAAGAAATTAGTAAATATGAATTCTTTAGAAGATATAACTAAGCTCAAATAAGATGGATAAATTTATTGTATTTATATATCTCTTAATGGTTAACTTTTAGTTACATGTGGTAAAGGTAATAAAATCACTTTTTGGGAAACTTCGTCATTTTAAAAAATAAACACCTTAGAATATGAAGGAAAAGTTCTATATCTTTCATTAAATGATTAATACTTGTGCTTAAGTTATAAATGGCGTAATGGTGAAGTTTCTACAACAGTTTGGGATATCTCTGATCTCAGTAATATTATTGTATTAAATACTTATAAGTGTATTCAAATGATTTTATCACCATTTGAAAATTTAAATCATTTAGTTTTGTTTAGAAGGAAGATATATACTAATGAATTAGTAAATCTTAGCCCTCAAGAAATGTTTGATTATATCTAGGAAGAAATGTAAGTGAAAAGAATTTCTAATTTGAATGAGATTTCAAATTTTACAGGTTACTATAAACCATTAGAATGTTCGTTTGGGTATTTGAATGAATGTGTTTATTATAAAATTATATCTCACTGGATTATATTAGTAAAATTTGATAAGAATAATAATTAAAAAGTCATACAAAAGATATAGTGTTAGGCAATAAAAGTTTTTTGTTCTGGATATTTCATGATTATTCAAGAAAACAAAAGATTATTATTTTATGATATCAAAGATATTTTAAAAGAAGATCATGCATTTTTTATCTACTAGGAATAGTGTAGTGTTGATTTAATTCAAATTTTTTGTCTTGATAATGAAAAATAGATCTATGCATTGTGTTATTTTTTGAGTAGAATTGAGATCAAAGATTATTCATTTATATCTTAACAATTTTAAACCAGCAAATACTTTTCTTGTCGCGCTTTAGATATAATGAATTAGTAATTAATTATGTGCAAAAACGGTATCTAATTTTATGAATTGAACACCTTTTCTGAAATTAATAAAATAAATTGCGGTAGTTATCTGAAGTTGCAGTAATCAAAAAATAATTCTATTTTAGCAGCTTATTCAAATTTTGAGGTTTGGATAATAAATTTTAATGAAAAAAATGATGTGACTTACTACTAAAATTCATTAAATTATTTGAGTCACTCAATTAAAAATTTAATTTTTATAGATAATAGTCGCTTTGCTACAATATTAAATAATTTTGACATTTATATTTGGAAAATTAATGAATAAAAATAAATTTAAATAGAGAAAGAATTCATTTTTCATTAATAATATTCCATAGTTAATTCAAAGAATATAATTTTAACCTAAAACACTAAATTATCTTTAATAAATTATCAATAATTAAAAGGCTAATCCAAAAATATTTTGAATTATTTAAGTGATTCGAAAATTCACATTTTTAATTTAGGAAATAAGGAAGAAATAGTTTTATCTGCAGGAAATAGCTTTACTTTTTTCAAAAATACAATTCCATACAAAAAAGTTAATACTGGTGTAAGCGAAAACAATACTGACGCAAATTACAATCATGTTAAATTATTATCAAACAATTCAACTTTAGCCTTAACTACCAAAACAAACAAGATTGTTTTTTATGATACAATATCCAAACTTAAAACATTAGAATTTGAAGGGGAATCATTTTGCATATCCTAAGATGAAAAATTATTGATTACAAGTTATAATAGACAACTTTTATTGTATGATTTATAATCAAAAAACCTGATTGATAAATTCGAAGGATATTAATCAAAAATTACATCATTTTCTATTTCTTCTGATAATAATACTTTGATCTCAGCATCACATAATTAGGAGATTAAAATTTGGAATTTACAGTCTTAAAAATAAATCTAGTTAAGCGTTCATGATAGATTAATCTAAAAAATGAAATTTTCTTAAGATGGATGTATTTTATTATCTAATAGTGATGATGGTACAATAAATGTTTGGAATATTGAATAGAATAAGTTAATATAATCTTAAAAAAATCATTTTAATTTTGATTATAACTAAAAAGAAGAATTAATATTATCTTAAAAAGATGAAAATAGCAATTTGTA